AAGCCTTTGTGATTTGAAAGTTGCATTCCATATCATTGAGATGTCGATTGGAATTTGATTGATTGTTCGGCCCAGACAGATGTTCAAAAATGAAGCACTGATATGGCAGCACATCCACAGAGAGCCAATCGCCAATCCCCACATGCTGTGACAAGGCAGATTTGTCAGCCCACCCCCCCCAGTGAGCGGGCGGGTGAATGACGGGGTCTCGTACCCCGCTCCCCACCTGCGCGGTGACGTTTGCATAAACGTCGGGGGTCCGGGGTGCACTTCCTCTCTGACAGCTTGGCCGCTGGCTTCCTACGGCTACATCGGGCCACCTCTGGGCTCCTGCTGGCTGCGTTTGGGGGGGGGTCGAGCAAACGCGGGAGGCTTTTGTCCTCGCCCGGGAGCAGCTGAAGCAACAGGAAAGCAAGGCCCCAGCCGGTCCATTAATTGATGGAACAATGTTAAAAGTTATGGGAGTGTCTCGGCAGGAAGAAGGAAAATGTTTACAAACGGCGCCCAGTAACCGATAATTACCGGCCCGCTTTTTTATTCCGCTCTTCTCGTCTTTTTCATCTGGTGCACGATGTCCTTGTTAAAGCCCAATGTGGAAATGTTTGCACGCCGATGACGACTGGATGCAGTCGACGCGGCACATATGGATCCCGTCTGAACACCCAAACCGTCCACCCAGATGGCTTCCGTGCAGCTGTGACCGAGAGCGCACGGCTGTCCCGAGTAGCCTGTCCCGAGTAGCGAGTGAAAACCACATCAAAGCTATCTTGATCAAAGGGTCGCGTGCTTGCCACACTGTCGGAGTTTCACCCTACGACCAAATCGGCCGAGGGCGTTTGCATGGCGGGCGTCTTAAAGGGCAACCAACTCTCGCAACAGTCGAGACTTTTCTGATGAGGGTGGGCGGGAAAGGCGCTTTGGATGTGGTCAGAGGAGGGGAGAAGCTTCGAATCGGAAAGAACGGGAGTGACTCAGGGAGGAAGAGGTGGGAATGAGAGTGGAGAATACGAGGGAATCCCACTGAGATTCGAGCGCTGCGCACTGATCCACACTGCACCGAAGAATTCCGACGAGCAAACCAGATGCGTAACAAGACACGTGGTGACTCGCAGCTTTACCGTATTGTCAACTGGCACCATTAATTTGGCCCAAAGTCAATTTTTTTTTTTCATGGGGGTCTTAAATCCCTGGACGAGAGTCTTGGGCTTCGGTTTCGGGTAAAAGAGGAAAATGCTGACGATTGACCTTTGACTGAGCGGACCACACAGGTTACGCGGCCTTTTCATCGGCGACATTATTTCCGAGCGATCAGCTGCACCGGCAACCTGCCCTTGTGTGCTCATCAGGTTATTCTCGCCCCAGTTGTTCGGCGTAAGACGACCTGACATATTTCCCCTCTTTAATAGCTGACAAACATCCAGTTCAAAACGGATATGTCGGGGTGGCCGTCAACCAGGAGGGACGCCTCGGGCACAAACGGCTTCGGGGCCCCGTTTTGGATGGAGCGAGGCATCCTTCGCAAGCAGGCTGGAAACCAATTCAGGTTTCAGGCAGCTCCAGTGACACTCTTTGGGCCCACGGGTGCACGTGAAGCGCCGCAGAAGCGTGAGCCGGCTTGTATATACACAGCTGCGCGGCGCTAAACAAAGACACGCATAATGACAGTGTGCGGCGAAGGTTTGGGTTTTAGCAGCAGACGGTGTCCTTCCTATTGCGTTTCCTTTCCCGCACTGCTTTTCTCCAGAGGCGACACACTGCTCACCCGTTGGGGAGACCGCGGCGCATGAAAGACTCATTCGTCAAAGGAGAAAAGACTCATTTGAAGAGGCGATGAGTGACTATTGCCACTCAACGTGGCGGGAGTGTACAATGTCGCTCGGCGTTAGGAGGAGGATGAGAGCCGGTCAATGAGGTCCGGCGCTCTCCTTTTTCCACAGCCGGCTCACATTCCTGGCATTCCGGGAGACCACTGCAGTCTCCAACCACGGTGACAAACTCATTCACGGTCTAATGGACTCCCTGGATTTGTAAAATGTTGGGTTGCTTCAAGTCAAGACGAATTCACATTCAATTTCATGTGTCGCCCCAACTTCTTATCAAACTCCTTCCCAACTTCAAAAATGGTTTGAATTGGAATATGTGACGTCAAGCTTGCATTGACGGAGTATAACCTACGTAAACACCACCTATGTTTTCTACATTTTGATTCAAGACTTCCAAGAGGCCGATCTGAAGACACCCTGGATTTTTTTTTTTCACGCTGCCATGACACGCATCCAAACTCTGCTTCTTCCACCCTGCAGTGTAAATCCAGCCTTTAAAACAGGTAATGTCATATATCAACTATTTTCTTTTTTTAAATAGAGAAAGCTCCAGCCTGGAATCGATTATTTTTACATTACTTTCCTCACAGGAGGTTCTACTGTATCAACAAAACAAGGCGTTGAGTCCAAATGACATATCAGGTTACAAATAGTACCGCTCTCATTATGCATGTGTGATTTATGACAACCGTAAACAGATGGGAAAGCTCGCAGTTAACTTGGCAATCCAATGCGTGCAGGTCATTAATCCATCTCATTAAGATCAGCCCTTGCTGTCTCGACTTACGCCTATCAGAAAACACTATCGCTTCAATATTTCACTTGGCACTTCCACGCGTCTACAAACAGTTCCCGGGGAATGTGATGCAGGTCAGGTCCTGGAAGTAGATCAAAAAAGGAGGGCACGCCGTCGGCCCCTTCTCGCAGTCAAAACACCGAGCTTTCATGTAAACCTCGTTGCTGTTTGTGTTGAAAACCAGACAGCCAAGGGAGAATTTGCAGGAGGAAGCTCAACTACATTATCACCGGGCTAAAAAATGCCTCAACATTTTGATATTTGGTGATCAAGAGCGTTGGGCTTAGGAGTTCACGGCGCCATGGCATCATACACAAAAGAGGAGAACAACGGCACACAAACACACTGTGAAGCCCACTTTAATGTCATCTAAACTAGTGATTCCCAACTGGTGGCACACGGACAGGGAGTAAAAATATGTCAGGGCAACATACAGCCCGAGATGACCAAAGGGGTGCAATGAAACAGTTTGCTCAGCGGCATTCGTGGTACAAAAAGTCACCCTCAGTTACAGGACTGCTTAGTGATTTGAGGTATTCTGATCATTTTATATTTATGGTCTAGGACTGTTTTACATTCAAATATTTACAGCGCTGATGACTTTACTACTGCGTTGGCATAGGATGACGATAAACCACGCTACGTTCTGATTACAAATTTGGGTTGCTGTAGAAGTGGATCTACCTTATAGTGAAATATTTAACGCATCCCGGGAAGTTATTTTTGACAAGCATGCATCAAAAGCATTACAGTGTCTGTCATAAGCAATGGCATGATCTTCCTAGACCACCACGTGACTGAATTGGGCCGCCCAAAGTGCAATGATGCTGGCCTAACAGGGCCACCAGTACACATTTCATCAATAAAATAAGACATTTTTGCATTTTTAATCTCTCATATTTAATATTGAGAATTTTATCCATTTACGTTGATCCTTGTTCTTTTTACCCCCGCTGTCCACATTTGATCGGCCCCATTCAACGACCCATTGTGAGCTATGCACTTGTGTGTATTTTGGCCACTGAGTCTACACGGTTCACTATCTTATCCGCTGTTAAGACATCATTTTACATTTCCTTAAGTATTGTTACCTACAGGGACACCACCCTGAAAGGCTTAATGTCAAGACCCTACATTATTTCCTGGCATGTACCGGTCTATGTACACTCGAATTTGATATGACTCCGTGCTGTACAAGTTTCCACTTGGAGAAGAATAGCTAAAGGACAGGAAGTCAAACTGCCTCACACTCAAGCCACGTAATACATCAACAAATGCATTTGCAGACTGCAAAAACTAAGGCGATGCAAACAACATCTAGTACCATTTTTTAACCACTGCTTAAGTCACAAATGCCACTGGTGGATTTTAAAACGTGATAATTCAGTCTAATTTCCCCCCCAAAAAAAGATTAACTCTTGATGTTACATTGCACTTTCCTAAAAAGAAACAACGCCAAGATAAGTGAAATGTTGTGCTCACATTCACCCGCAATTTCTTAAGGTGTTTTGAAATGCATTTCGAACACGGAAGAAATTAAGAATAGTGTCGTTTTGTTTCATAAAAAAAATTCTGAATAACGCAACTGTATTTATAGAGCACTTTCAAACAGCCATCGCTGCATACAAAGTGCTGTACTTGGAACAACTAACATATACAAGACTATTTCTGAATAATTCATTGTCCTTACCATTCCTAATCTTAACTACTATATACTGTACTCGAGTTGCGACGTCGCAACATTTCGGGAAATGCGGGTCCCGAGGGGTACAAGAGAACCAATGATTGAAATGTCACGTCAACTTGTAAAGACTTATTTACTGCAAAGTCGGCGGCGGGCTAACTAGCGAGCTAACGCCGGCTAGTCAACTTGAAATGAGCTTCGTCTGACAGCACCACTGTGTGATCGTCGGCTGGCCTGGCTGCACTAGAGAATGTGACATGTCGATGTGTTAATTCAAAACGTATACTGTCACATATGTACGGCTCACCAAATAACGACTTACTTAATAGAGTGACAACACAATAACAGCCGGCTACTTCTGCCCCTGCTCCGGCGGGACCCGATTTACGGCTGGTTAAGTGGCGACAATCACAATTTCCATCAACAGTTATCAACACTTTTCAACAAAATGTAGCGAAGAGCAAAGCGGGTGCGCGAATGTCAGAGGAGCAGGGGAATTCGCGTGGTTTAAAATGCATTGCAGCTATCAAAAGGGGCAGCCGTGGTAACGAAGGAAGAGTGAAGCGGCGATGAGCCAACTCCGTGGCCCATGGGGACTGTTCCTCGGATCCAGGAAATACACTAAGCCCTCCTAGCTAGTGTACGACGGAATAGAAGCATTACTTGAGGGGGGGCTTAAAACAACATCGCCACATACCTGTTAATCGCAGCTTCACGGGGCCATTCCGCCGAACTCCTTGGTTAGACATCACCTCTTTGTTCCGGCCTTCACGGCGCGTACAAAAGGAGTCGTTAGGTGGGGGAGAAAGAACAAGATTTAGCAGTCTCTCCGCCAGTTTTAGACGATAATGGAGTCAAGGCATTGTGGCCCGGATGTGCACAGAACTGCCATCGCAAAAAAAAAAAAAAAAATCTCAAACAAAACTAAATCAATTTTAAAAAAATCGTGAATGGAACGATGATTAATTTAAAAAGACGAGTTCTTCTTAAGGCGGCGTTACATCCTGGGAGCCGTCGTCTCCTCTGGCGGGGACTTGAAGTGAGGAGTCCTCCGGCGTGTAGCCCACTTGAGGAGGCTGCCCCTGCCTCTGCCTCTTCCTGGGCTGCGGGGAACTGACCAGTGACAACAACGCTCCAAACATTTCCCCTCACATGTGGCACAACACCTCCAACCTACTCTTTTTTTCTTTCTCTCTCTCGAGCGCGCCCCTCCACTTGAGCATGTCCTCAAGGTTGGAGATTCCCGATTTACTGTCGCTTTAAGAGCACACGTAACCCTCACGCCCCCTGTTCTGTCGAGCAAGCGTTACAATCGGGGATGCGTGTTTGCGTTTTATCAATTGTCATTACGAACTGATGTTTGAACGAGTAAAGGGAAAGATGTGAAGTGCCATTCACGTTTTCTCAGCAACCTCGCTACACTGGCATCCATAATCAACCCCTGTTGAAGAGGTGTTCTTCAGCATCTAATTCATTTTGTCTAAATAATATAGGACCTTTAAGATGATATGCAACATTGAAGTGCATTTATTCAGTGTGTGCGAGAGGCGGAGGGGGGGGGGGTTCCTATCCCACAAAAATTTTACATCAAACTATCATAATTATTGACACCCCTTCCGTTTCACATGAGGGAAGAATACGGAAAGAGGGATCTTCAACCAGTCCTCTTTGCACACTCTCTCCAAATCATCCAGCGACCTGGATCCTCTTTCTCCGCACACTACAGAGGGTTTTATTAGGGTTGAGTTCTGGGGAGAGAAACGGCCAATGAAGAACCTTGCTTCTATGTATGGTGAATCAGTTTTCAGCAATTTTCAGTATGACGGTATGCCTCGGCAATAAAAATGGAATTGATTTTAAGGCTGCCAATAACTATGGAGGGCACTGTGTGCAAACAAGATGTAAAACCAGAATGGTTGAATCAACTGCATTAGTTTTCTCACCGGAACCTAATGTGCAATAAATTTATTTTGTGCACAAGCTGCTGTCGATGCATTGGGGGCATACTGTATTTTGTTAAATTTGAAAAAGGAACTCCCAAAGTGCAGGCAGACATTCAATAAGTTATTCTTCCAAGTCTTAATAGAAGTTTGGGGGGGAAAAAAATCCCCCACACAACATCCATCAGCTTTATTTACATGAGTGGTTCATCAAGTGTTTAAAACAGTATGTACACTACATACAACAGGCCACAGAACGGCACATTGACAGGAACAAGGACAAACCGTAGCAGTGAAGATTCAGTCAAGTTAAGTGTTAGAAATTGAAAGTGCTCTGGTTTTCACCGATTTGGAATTCATAACCATCAGCCGTTGCTTCTGGGGCAACGCACTGCAACTCTTCATCCTAGAAATTCAAATGAGGCAAAAATGTCACAATACTCAAGAGAAGGAGGAGGACTTTTTTTTTTTTTTTTTAAAGGCAAATACCTCTTCAGAGAAATACTTCTCAATCAGGTTGAGAGCCGCTTTATAGACCATCTCATTCTCATGAGACTGTAGCGATTCAATCCGATCCAGCCCACCACATTCTTCAATCATCAGGGCCAACTTGTGCGACTCGTCAATTTTGTCACCAGCCTATAAGGAATGGGAATAAGTTACAACCTCAGCGATTCCCTTTTAAGGTCAAGCAATGGTCATTTAAAAAAAAAATAACTGAATGATTGCACCAACCAAAAATATATTGGTGATGGCATCCAAGATGACAAGAACAGTTTTGCTGTCCTTTGACGACAGAAGATTGAGAAGTGGCTCCAACACGTTGCACTGCACCAGGAAAACAACTTGCTCCACGGTGCCCCCGCTGGTGAAGTTTGTCACAGCCCATACAGCCTCCTTCTGGGTTTTGTAGTCGCCCTGTCGCAAAGAGCCGGGAAACCCCACGAGAGCATGAAAGGGCACATCCGGGGGCAGATCATTGAAAAGGAGAGAACAGACAAGCCATGGCATACCCTCACAAGGACATTGACCAAATGTGGAATGAGGCCAGCGTTGATGACTTCCTGAATCTGGGTGTCTTTTCCCGCCGTGATGTTGGACAAAGTCCAGGCGGCCTCCTTTTGAATGTTGGCCTTGTTGTGGCATAGTAATGCGGCGAACATGCCCAGGGCCCCGGCGTCGAGCACTGCCTGAGTCTGCTCATCTGTGCCAGTCACGATGTTACCGATGGCACGCAGGGAGGGGGTCTGGAGGGTACACAAACGGGTCACTGTAAAACCCTTTCAGAGTCATTTACAGCAGCGGTCCCCAACCATCACGGACCAGAGAGAAAGATCGACAGAAAAAAGAAAAAAAAAAATTCTGATAAAAGGGACATTTCAGGATGACTGCGTTTCATTGAACAGAGTCTCATCTCGGTCAAGTAACACAATATTATAATAATAATAATAAAAAAGGGGGGGGGTTCCTTCGGAGAGCCACTTTGGAAAGGGGAGGGAAAGTCCAAAGCCAGCAACTTCAAAGAAAAGTGCTTATTAGCAGTTCTCCTTAAAATGGCGATCCAAAAGTACCAAGCCCAGGTTGCATCAAACTGTATGTGGCAACAAGTTCACAAATGAAGTAATTAAAGAAAAAAAAACTTGGGGGAGGAACACTGAATACCTTTCTTCCATTTCTAAAATGCAGTCTTTTTGAAGCAGGAATTTCTCACCTTCAGGTGTCAATGTGACCAAATTTGAGAGAATGCGCACAGGGCTCCAACGAGCAACTACATTCAGCATGATGTTTAAGTGAGTGTATGTATGTATATACGTTTTTGTTTTTTTTTTAAATATACAACTGTCCATGAAAATATGACTTCACGGTCTAAAAATTGGTTGGGGATTGCCGTGTTACATGAAACTCTTCGAGGTGCAGCACGACTTACCACCACAGGCAGTTCTGTGCTGCTAAGCAGTTTCACCAGGCGAGGCACCAGGCCCGCCCGCACCACCACGTCGATGCGATCATTAGAACCGTCAGTCAGGTACGAAACCCCCCAACAGGCGTCGGCCAACACCTCTTTGTCGTCGTGGTGAAGGAGGCGTATGAGAGCAGGTAAGAGCTGCTCGATGGCACTTATGGGAGGCGAAGGGTTCTTGTTGCGGCACAGGTTGGACACTGTCCAGGTCACATTTCTCAGGTAACCAGGCTGAGAAAAATAAATACATTTGAGCAGACTTCATTTGAAGTTGGGTTGCCCCCTAGTGGCAACAAAAGAAATACTAAGGTCCAACATGAGACTGAAATGATTCATTTCAGTGTATTGTCAGCATTTTGGAAACCCGTTTGGGCCCGATTGAGAACTCAAGGAACCTTAACATGCACATTTGAAAGCAGGTACTTACACTTAATCCAGAGAGGTCAGGCACTGAGAGCAGATTGAGCAGGGCAGCTACAGCTCCATGCTTGATCACCTTGTCCCTCAGAGCCGATCCGTCACCTCAACAACGAAATAAGAAAATGATCACGCTGGACCACCAATTCAATTGGTGCCTGCTCATCATATTGACAAATAAAGTGTTACTTACCAGCAATGTTTCCAAGAGCCCAGACAGCTTGCTCACTGATGTGCTGGTGGGGGGACGTGACCAACCTAACAAAAGCAGGAACGGCCCCGCCCTGGACCACGGCAGCCGTCTGGTTAGACGTCCCAGAGGCAATGTTGGTCAATGCCCAAGATGCTTCAAACTGGATGGGAGGACAGTCGGACAGTCCCAAGAAGGCCACAAATTTGGGGATCAGACCAACACTGATGATCTGGTCAATGGGTGGGTGCCTCTCCCGGGAGAGCAGTTTCCTGCATTCAGAATACACAAAAGGCGATGAGACTAGAGGCAACAGATTTGATTCCAACTTCCATCCATTTTCTACAGCGTTTGCTCTCATGTGCTGCATCGGGAGAAAATATAACGCAAGCTCCACCAGAGCCAGGAGTTTCACCTTGAACAGAAGAATTTTAAGGCGGCCAGGTCGGCATGCCAACCACCAAGCAGCATATTGATTTTAACCAACTTTTATTCACCCAAGTAAGGCAACTGAAAACAGGTTCCCCATTGCAATGCGGACCCGGTTGCAGCCAGCAGAGGGAAACAAGGCAAAAATAAAGAAGCACCTAAAATCCAGAAAACTAAACAAATTAAAAACTTAAACTTGCCTTGCTGCCTGTGTTGCTTGCAGCTGTGACTCCACGTTATCACTGTTGACTCCAGTGAGAATTTCTGCAACTGTCCATTGGCTAGAGGTCTTCATTGACAAAGATATATAGACATAACATAAAGGACAATATTAGGGTTTTCCTCAAAACGTCTTAAAAATAGAAATCTCACAGAGCCACCCAAGTATACAAGACGTCTAATTTATCTTTAAAAATTTAAATGCAGTCAGTAAAAATCATTGCGGTTTAATTGGTCTATAAATGCAGTTGACTTAAGTATGATTCACAACAGGTAACTGTCCGTCGCTATATGCCAATGGTAGATGGACAAAGACAGTATTTCTATTACATTTTTTAACCATTTAAGTGGAACTGAATAACTTCATCTTCAGGCATCTGGTTAGAAATCCCCACAATAGACAAAAATGGCAAGGTGACTTGGTGTATTAAAAAAAAAAAAGCCCTTTACATAAAAGACGTCAAAAATTGCGTTGCCTACCCATCTAGAGGTTTCTAAAGAACAAGACTCATAAAAAAAAAAAAAAAGCTCTTTACATAAAAGACGTCAAAAATTGCGTCGCCTACCCATCTAGAGGTTTCCAAAGAACAAGACTCCGATCGAATGCAGTAATAGAAATTAAAAACTCAGTTTTTAAGTTATCAATCGTACGTGACGATCTGCGGTTGTTGAAACGTAGCAATAACGACGTTGGCCCAGTATATTGTTCTGTACTATACGTTGAAAAAGGGGTGCACGTCCGAAAGAGACAACAGTTTCTTTACCTGACCGTTCTGACTTTTCTCTTGAAGTGGCGAGGTGGCCTCCTCGGGAAACGCAGCCACGTTCCTTCTTTTGAACATCTGATCATCTTTCCTGGCCTTGCGTAGCTCGACGTTCACCTCCACTCTCCTGCGTCTAAGCTCCTGTGTGCGTTTCATACACAAATCAAAAATGTCTCCATTGCGCCAGCGTGCAAGCAAAGCACCCAACTTCACTTTAGACACGCTCACTTACATTAGCATCCTTGCCTTTGTTCTTGAACTTGTTCAGACGGGCGACGTTCTCGGACATTTTACACAATGTCAATAAAGCTTGGCAGCAGTGAGGAAAACGTTGATTGGCGAAGAGGATTTCCTGCCGTACAAGGATTAAGGTTAACTAACTTCGATTTCGCGACGCCTCGTGACACTTTAGCATGACGACAGAATACGTATTAAGCATCAATATTTAACCTATTAAACAATAACTGTCGCAGCAGTGAACATATTGTAATGCGAAATATCAACCACTAAGGGAAAATACGCTAAAATAAAATCATAATTATCAAAACGTCAAGAGAATCGAGAACCAGCTTACCTATTGCTTGGGAAATAGTTCAAACTGTGTGGAATATGACGCACAGACCTTTAAATTCCCGAACCAAAGTGTTCTGATTGGACCATTTGAGCACAAGCATTCAGTCGCCTCCGGTCATTGGACTGTTTGAAAAGAAACACTCAGCGCACCGGAAGTAGTATCAACTACGTATTATCGCGAGATTATGAACGTGGCCACCAATCAGCTATCTTTTGAGCATGTGGCCACGTCCATACATTTATGAAAGCCACGATTCACATCCGTTATCTTAACCGCCTGATCCTCCCGAGGGTCGCGGGACGATTCACATTGATTGCGTTATATTTGTCATGCAGTGTGGCTAATTCACTAATTTTAGGAGTAAGTGTTCACAGAATTTATTGGAGTTATTGATGGTGGTCTGTAGCATATTAGCGCACTCTTTAGGTCACACATCCGGTGCGAGATCCAAGAAGTGGAATATTTTCTGCTTCCAGGAATTGTATTTATATCCTTCCAACACTAGGCAGCAGAGGTTGAAAAAAATGGCACTTACAGATTTAGATTCTTCAATTTGTTTATAACGTGTTTGAAGGGGAGGGTGGCGGTGGGGGAAGAGAATTGGGATATATTTTATACTGTATATAATTTTTTTGTACAACGACTGGACACTTAGTGCTACGTAGGAAGGTAGTACAGTCTATGCCAAATACCTTCTTTATTCTAAACTTTTGTGCCCATTTTAAAACAAGCAGTTTCCACGTCTTCTAAAGGTTAGATTAAAAATAAAGTAATTGTGTTTATTTACAATTAATGTAACAATCTCCACGTGTCTTACTTTTTATTAAAATAAATTTACTAAAATATAAATGTTACAAGTATATGAACTAATTTTAAGGAAGGAATTAAGAATATAATACTCAGTGGGCCAAATGACACAATACTTGCTTCACCCACCACTGCCTTATCTCCACATTATTGACAATTGTTGTTATTGTCAAAATAGGAACGGGACAACATTTCTGCCTTTTATTTACTTTCATATACATCCATATTTCTTCGGCTGTAATAAAAAAAAAAAAACGTCAAAATCTGACTTTTTTTTTTTTTTTTTAACAAACAGAACAGGAACCTTCAAATACACAGATTCATCATTCTCAAGTCAGTCACTTTTGCAGAGCAAGGTAAGGAGCCTAACAAGCATCTACTGTTGTCCAGTCATTTGGTACTGGACCGTCTTCTCATGCCACCTCAGCCCGAACAATGGAAATAGTACAAAAAGGAAGTAGACACAAAATATTTTAGTATGCTCAGTAAAACTCAGCCATTATATTCCATTTCCTACTTCTCATCGAACAAGTTGACCATTTGGATGGCCAGAGGGAATTTAACAAGAACAAAGAAAAAGAGCCAACAAATGAGACCCCAAAATAAAGTACATGGAAACATGAGAGCTCCTTGAGAGTCTTTTCTCCGAGGTAAAGTTTCTTGTGAAATGCCAACTCGTCCATACAGTTCCGCTTATGAAGACAGGTACAAAAAAATAAAAAAGGTCCCTTGGAGCTGAAATGGTGAGCCTGACCAACTCTGTGAAAGCAGCAGTGCTTGGTTGCGCGCATAAAAGAGCACATCCCCGACACAGGACGTGTGTCACAGAGGGACAGTCGAGAAAAGCCAACGTCTTGGCAAGTGCATTTTGTTTTTCGGCGTTTCATCAATGTGCCACGCGCTCTAAGAGGATGATGACTGTAGCTTGTTGTTATGAGACCTACAACGTGGAGAGAGGGCGAAGTTGAGAGGCCTTCACATGTTCTCAGTTGTAAAAACGTGGACAACGATCACGTGCGCGCGCGCACACACACAGTGAATGCAAAAAGGCCTCCCTGGAAGATGATCCTACAGCCATGTCGGATGTTATGTATTGGGAATGCCTTTTTCCTTGATGACAATTTTGCTGACAGCTTCATTATTTTTGGAAAGTGGGGGGGAACACAATGACGATAGATATTGCTCACATTTACTCTCCTAAACATTTGTTTAAAAAACATCAATATATATTACAACCGCTGTACATGATAAAAATATTTACATTAACCTTAAACACTGATCAAACCAAAGAGGCGGAGCCAAGTGATACCCTCTCATAAATATCTCTAATAAAATATACAGCTTTGTATACTTTAACAGCTGGCAAGCTTGACTCAGACCCAATCAAATTTAACCAAGATGTACAGTACATCAGGAATAAACACAAATTGTGCTAAAATGTATTTTAAATCCCCCACAAAGATGCAAACTACCATGACCGCTTGTTGGTTAAGACTAATAACTTAATGAGGATTGGACAAAACGTATTGTCATCATTGAACTGATGGAGTAAAGACAACATGGCTGCCACTTTATGGTGGTTACTGAACACTCTTGCCATGATTATTAGAGAGACAAGCATCCAGTCCAGACTCCAGCTAGACTGGCCCATTTAAGAATCTGACAATCTGCAAGACAGAAGAAAATGGGATGGCATAAATCAAAGGCATGCAGCAAAGGTGAAAAAACCCAGACATGGCGGATGTTGTAAACAAGCACGTCATGCATATCTTGTGTTGACTTTATTGTTAGCCCAGTTAGTTCTTTGCTCGAGCTAAACACAGCAAGGAGGGGGAGAAAAAGCATCGCCTACCATGAATTCATGCAAGGGAATAGTACAAACACTTGGGGGTGGGAAAAAACATGACTGAAACCGATGCAATACAGGAGAAGAAACCACATAGTGAGAGCAAGCTATTACAGCAAGCAAACAACAACGGTGCAGCAAAAACAACATCCGGGGCGCAGCGAAGCTTACCTGCCAGTTTTGAAACATTTGAGCTTCTGTACAAAGAAGCCTTCAAGCACCTCCGCACACTGAAAGAAGGGCGTGTCATTGGGGTTGTAGTAGCGGCAGTTGTCAAATATTTTGGTCACGTCGGCCACAAACTCTGTGACCTTGTGGTAATGGCGCTTTTGTAAACGGCTTTCCATTGTGGAAAAGTCTGCAAGGGAGAATGATTGTATCAGTGTCGCTGGAAATGGTTAACGGTGGCAAATTGGATGCCAAACACACACACACACACGGTTACCCATTGGTTCCTTGATGACGCGGTAATAATCAGGTGCATCATGCGGATCCACCGGTTCAAGGAAAGGCCACGCCATCTTGTGAGACTGTTCCAACAGGAATATAGTACAAAGTTGATTTTAAAACCATCCAGCACATGCCCCAAAGTAAATGTGCTTTGAGATTGAAACCACTGACTGATTAACATTTCAATACATTCCCTCGATCTACATGAGGAAGAGATCGAACTAATGCATTAATTTTCTCCTCTCCTATTCAATCCTTTTTCTATTACTGATTGATGACTTTGGTCTGAGCGCAAAAACAGCAAATAGGTTAGTTTTTTCAGCAAATAATGGAGTATAAAATTGGGTGGAGAAAAAAGTGAACGTGAAGGTTCGCCACAATGCGCTGATTTAATTTGGTGATGTCGATGTGAGTGCAACTTTTAAGGGAGACATGTTATATTATTATTAGTTGTAGTCAGCAAATGCTGTCCAGAGTAGCCTGCATACCTGTAAGGAGCGTAAAATTCGTTTCAGTCCCTCATAGTCTTTGTCAGTAAGTGGCGTGAGGACAGTCATGGCATCTTCTGTCGACTGACACTGTGGGCAGACGTACACGTCGATGTGATTGGCCTCGCTCTGTAGGATGCCCACACAGCGCCCGTGGTACCAGTTCTGGCAGCGGTCACAGCCGATGTAAAACCTGAAAGGGCGTAATTTCGGAAAAAAAATAAGGACTTGTTCATTGCTAGTCCATGGGCACGATGTCCTCATGGCCCCGTTTACAATCATTACACACAAAGTCCTCTAACTTTTTGGCTTCCTTCTCAGTGATGCCCACGCATGCGCCATGGAACCAGTTGGAGCACAGGTCACACCCAATGTAGAACCTGAGAGCAAAGACAAAACGTGTCTCGGTATATCGCTGGAACGAAATCAAGCAAAGCGCTCAGCTGTCGGCACGGTCTGATGCCCACGTGTACTTACTTGGACTCGTCATAGGGCGTTTTACAGATACAGTAGAGTTTATTGTCCTTCTTGTGATCCTTTGAGGTAGACGAGAGCTTCTTCTTCTTCTTGTGTTTTAACGAGAAGGGATCTCTCTCCTTGTCTCTGTCCCTTTCTCCGCCCTTCTCCCTGTCCTGAGGTCGATGATGCTCGTGCGCTCTCATCCTCTCCTTTTCTCGATCACGCTCTCTGTCTTTTTCTCTGTCTTTGTACCGATCCCGATCTTTGTCCCGTTCTCGCTCGCGTTTCTTGTCGTGATGCCGCTCCTTGTCCCTGTTGCGGTCCTTGTCTCGCTCCTCTTCACGCTTACGTTTATGTGATGAGGAAGGGGGTCCGGCTGTGCGGTTGCTGTGAGAGGAATGTGTCGAGTGAGAGGGTTGAGAAGAATGTGAGGAGTGGGAGGAGTGGGAGGAGAGGGAAGATGATTTGACTGCCGCTGCCGCAGCCTGGGCGATGGCAGCTCGGGCTTTCTCCTTTTCTTTCTGGAGCCTGGCGATGTCCCGCCTCAGCTCCTCCTGAGGGCAATGAGGGAAAAAACAAGTCATGATACATTGGGTAAGGGGACATCTCCCAGGCAAACAGAGTACAGCAATCTCTCCTTTTTTGTTGCGGGTTCCATTCCGGACCGCAGTTCATGTGGGAAAAATAATCACTGCAAAATCCCAGTATGTATGTATGATAGAAAAATTCTATGATACGGCAAAGCCGTAAAATGTCCAAGGCCGCGTGGTGACTCTGCTTTTTTGTTGCGGGTTCCATTCCGGACCGCAGTTCGTGTGGGAAAAATAATCACTGCAAAATCCCAATATGTATGTATGATAGAAAAATTCTATGATACGGTGAAGCCATAAAATGTCCCGACGCCGCATGGTGACTCTACGAGTTATCATGTCATCCGTCACGCATGATTTGAGGTAATCAATTTGTTTTAAACCGGAATGTTTCACTTATTTTGACTTTTCCATGACAGATATGAACGTTTTAAGATACACAATGACTGCCATCATCCAGTCTTTATTCAACTTCCTCAAAAACACGAGGCCACGGTCATGCGTCAAATGAATAGTATTGCAACACTATCCGCTCCATTTTCCTTCTATTAGCAATTCCCGACGGTGTCCTTATACTTTTAATCCATAAAGCGTGCTTTGGACCAAGTTGAATGCTTGCCAACCTGCACTTGCAACTGAAGGTCCTTGTCCAGCAGAGCCCGCTTTTTTAGAATCTCCGCCTTCAGGTGTTCTTTATGCTTGTACAACAACGCCGTCAACTTGGTGGCATTCTGCTTGGAGCGTTTCTGCTCAACCACCTCGTCCTTCTTTCTCTTCTTAGCTGCTTGCTTCTCGTCCTTCTCAATCTTATCGAGAATATACTTCATCACCTGGTTGCACACAATCATTCTGGAGAAAGTAGACACAAGCAAATTATTTTGGTACGCTTGGCGGGGCAGCTTCCCAGCGGTTGTACAGCAAAAATCACAAAGTCCCAAACCTCTGGTTTTCCTCCCGCTCAGCAGCGGCTTGGGGTTTCCTCTGCTTGAGCTGTTCGGCTGAAACGCTCTGCTTCGCTCCCACCTGGCAGCAAGCATAAACATGATTTCAGTGCTGAAATGTGCGGCAACAGACTAAGGTCATTGTTTGATAGTCCCACCTGTTTATGAACACCATCTCCCGAGCTCACGGGCAACTGATTATGATCCTTATGCTCCCTTTTATTCTCTTGGTGTTTCTTCTTCTTTGGTGGTGGATGCTGATGTTGCTGCTGTTGCGGTTGTGGTTGTTGCTGGTCTCTGGGTTGCTGCATCCTCTGAAGTTGGTCCTGCAGGTTTGTTGGGGCCTGTATCGTCACCACGTTCTGGATTTGGTGAGCCTGCTGGATCTGGATAGGCAGTTGCAGTTTGATCTGCTGGGGAACCGCCCCGCCTTGCTGCTGCGCCTGTGCTTGGATCTGAGCCTGGATCTGGGCCGCAACGTGAGGTGGAAGAGCTGACAACAGTTGCACTGGTTGTTGAAGCCCCGGAACAGTGATGAGCTGATGTCGAATTGAAGGCTGGACGTGAAGTTGAGGCTGAGCTTGAATGTGGGTTTGGTTCGGGGTTTGGAACTGGACTTGAACCTGCGCTTGCACTTGGGGTTGAGTCTGTACTGGAACCTGGGTGGGTGACTGTGCTTTGAATTGGGTTTGGGTTGGAATTTGACTTGTCATTGGTGAGAGACTTTGAATTTGAGGTTGCTGTGACGCATGAGGCAGAGGGTGAATCTGGTTCTGTTGCTGGAAATGAACCTGAACCTGGGGATGCAACTGGGGTTGTATCTGGGGTTGGAGTGGCGCCTGAGGCTGCTGCTGAGTCTGCGGTTGGGTGTGCACTTGTGTTTGGAGTGCACTTTGCGCCTGTGACTGGTACTGGGGTTGGACCCTTTGTTGGTGTTGAACTTGAACCTGGGGCAAGGTTGGCTTTGGGGATTGAAACTGCACCTGGGGTTGAATTTGAGGAAGGTGTTGCACTTGGGGTTGGGATGCCGGCTGAGTTTGGGGCTGAAACTGAACTCTGATCTGAGGGTGGATTTGCGCTTGCGTCTGGAGGCGAGGTGGCGACTGGATGTGTTGTATTTTTTGGACTTGGCCACAAGGCTGGACCTGAATTTGTGCACAGATTTGGTTTTGAGGGCAGGACTGCAGTGGACTGAATGCTTGGGGCTGTCTAACTGTCGTCACTACAGAGGAAACAGGTAAGGCCTTCATTTGAAGCTGCACAGCTGAGAGAGGAATTTGAGACACCTGCTGAACAGACACGACTGCAGGGTGTTGGACTTGAGTTTGCAAGGAGAGAGGCGCCTGAGGCAGTGAGGAAACGGGTATGGAACGTGACGCCAGGGTACAGGCAGGAACTGCGGTGAGGGCAGGGGGACTGGGAATGGTTGCCTGTTGAACAGAATGGACTGGAAGCTGGCCTTCGCATGAAGCCGGTTTCCATACCTGGGGCTGAGCAGCCCTCTGCTCTATTAGCGCTACGATGGGACAGGAAAAGAGTTGAACAAATTAATGTACAAAATATTCACAAAGTCACTTGATTTCATCACAAAATGCTGAGTGTGGTGCCATACCGTTCTCGGCTTATTACCTGGCACTGAGGGTGTTGTACACGTGGCCGTGACTGGCGTGACCACAGCGTGACCCGCAGCAGCATGAAGAGGGCGAGGCGCTAGAGTTTGAATTTGGGTTAGTGCTTTAGCGGGGGACAGGACGCCAATTTCATTGGATACCACAGCGATGACTGGACCAGAGGCGGCAGGGAGGGCACAGGGTGGAACTTGGGGTTGGACAGGTGAGGGGAGAGATGCAGAAATGCACTGCATTTGGGTGGAGTTCGCATACTGGACAGCAGAATTGCCCGAGAGAGGGACAAAAGCAGGGGCGGGGACTGTAACGTGCATCTGGACGGGAGCTGAGGAAGCGGTCAAAGTTTGTGCCGAGATCTGGGATTGGGTTGTAACTTGTCCTGCGACAGCTACAGTCATTACTGTTGGATTCTGGTCTAATAGTTGGGTTGGAATCATAGTTTGCCCTGCATTATGTTGTGGGGCAGGCACAGATTTTGCCACTTCAGGTTGTACTGGGGCAGAGGCCGCTAAGGAGGATGAAACTAGTGTTTGTGGCAACGCCTGGGCTGCTATGGGAGATAATTGGGATGATGGTGCTGAAACGTGAGCTTCTACTGGAACCTGCGGAGTCACGTGAACCGTTGTTGGAATTGAGGCTGTCACTTGGGGATGTATAGGGACGGAGGTTGGGGTAGAAGCCAAATCTGATCTCGGTTGCGAAGAAAGAGGTGAAATGGGTTGCGTTGGAGCAGGAATAGGGGCTGCCATTTGGGTCTGGGCCAAGGATGAAGGCGTAGTCTGGACGTTGGACCTAGGTAGAGCAGGAGTTGATATTTGGGTTGGCGGACTCGGTAATGCAGCGGGCTTTGCGGGAACAGCTGCGGTGAGCGTTGACGTTGAAACTGATGAAGACACCGGCATGGGAGTGAAGAGGAAGCGATGGACTTGGCCATTGGGCATAGCCGCCTGCATCAGCTGCTGACCAGGGGAAGGGATGACGGTGACGCCCTGTGGGACAATTTGCAGCTGGCCCTCCGTCTGGCCTTGACCCTGGATCACCACTGTCAGACCAGGATTCCCTCCCTGAAGTGGTGCGTGGAATTTCAATTGAGCAAACAAATAAAAAGTCAAACGTTACACGCAAAACGCATCAACTCCCTCGGCATGCGGGCAGCCAAATCTTTGAGACGTTAGACGAGGTTTACAAAATCTTGGGAAAACCAAAGTCGAGTACAGTGGAACCTCTGTGTTAAAAAATTGAATTCGTTCTAAGACTCTGTTTTCAAACTGATACGTTTCGAAACGGAAACAACGTTATGTTTACCTTTTTATGGATTTAGTTAAAAATAAAGAGCCCTATTTCTCTATGTTAGTTTTTGCCAAACCAAGCTGTCGAAGCTTAAAGTTCCTAATTAGCGCTGAGGACTAATTTAGAGGAAAAATACAAAGATAACTCTCTGCAAAATATGTGACAAATGGTGCGAACCATTTCTTCACCGTGCAAAAGAAAGTGCAACAAATCAAGTGTTCCATGTGGATACCGTGACTGTGAGTAAAGTGCACAAGAAAATCTTGTTCACAAATCGATTGGTTCATGAGCAGGGACCTTCCTGAACAAAGGTTCCACTGTAGGACTTTCAGAGTTTTAAACGGGCCCCTCACCTGAGCACTTTGTGTTAACTGCATGAGCTGTGCCATCGTGAGTTTGACTTGACCCTGCTGTGGTCGACTGGGTTGGGAAGGAGTCGCAGGAGCCTGCCCAGGTGCTGTGCTGGTAGCGCAAGGTGACGGCGCAGGACCTGCGGCTCTCTGACCTTCAATTGGCTGCACTGGAGTAGAACCAGATACAGCTGCAGATGCAACTTGGCCTTGGCCCATCTGGACCTGTTGGGAATGGCCTAGGCAAACAGAAATAAAAACGGATTTTATTTTTCCGGCATGAGCCTCAGCGGCTAAGTTTAGTTAAAAATGTAAATACCAAATTGAAAGAATACCTTGTGGAGTCAATTTAGGACTTGCTCCAGGTTGTGTTTGGTTCCCTGCTCTCATCATCTGAAGCAAAAACAAGAGTAACCATTGATCATGTTGCTTGCTTGAGGTAAGCTTGAACAAGGTCCGAGTCAGAGAGACAAAATACCTGTTGCATCGATGAAGTCGAGTTGCTCGCTCTGAGATTGATATTGCCAGTTGTCGGATGGAGTGTACTGTATGTCCTCAGGTTTGCAGGCGGGCCGGACGGGAATATGCTGTTGCATTTCTGCTCATCTGTCGTGAGAAACAATGATATAAATATCCATCCATCCATTTTCCGATCCGCTTATCCTCACGAGGGTCGGGGTGGGAGTGGGGGGG